GCGCTTCCCGACGTTTGGTAAGGGACTGCTCCAGCGCTGCTCGCGTCTCTGGGGTCTCACACCACTCCTGTGTGCGGCATCTCCGCGGTTCCTCCCCCAGGGTCGTCCGCGCTGCGTCGAGGAGAGCATTGGTAAAGTCGGTCGCCAATTCCGCGGCGGTGGTTGTTCGCTCGTCCAGTCGTGTGTCGAGGTTGAGGAGAAACCGATTAGTCACCGCACACCGTGCTGCGTCGAACTGCGATTCCCGTTGGTTGAATTGCTCCTGTTTCGGTTTAGTCCGGACTGCACGGTTGTGGGCAAGCCTGCCACCGAGGTTGACGGTGGCTACTACCATATTGTGGTCTGAGTCTGCTTTGACTGGGCGAACCGGCTGGGAGATGACGACCACGTTAGATACTCGGCCGTGAAGTGCCTGCCTTGCCAGGATGTAGTCAAGGCGCTTGCAATCGTTTCCCGACACGCCGTTGTATGTGTGCCATATTCCGCCCTTGCGTGTCTCAAAGAACGTGTTCGTGAGAGCTAGCCTCACCGGTAGCCATTTGGCTCACCCTGTGCGGACCTTGCAGGCAAATAGATCCTGTACGGACGCTGTGACACCCTGCCAAGGTAATCGGTCCCCACAAGGTTCACGGGCAGGAACCCTGTCAGGGTGTCGACCCTGCTAGGATTGTATACGTCGGTCCGCGTGCTTTCCGTTGCTAAGTTCAACAGTAGCATGCCATTGTCGTTGAGCTCATGACGCCCGTACATTCCTATTACCCGTCCGTCCCCTCCATCCAACCTATCTCTCGTCCGCGCGTTGGCGTCCATTAGGACATACACACATTATTTGGAGGGGATCCTCCGCACGAGACTGCTGTCAAGTTTTCCCCCAGAACGCATCAGTATTTCCGAGCTAGTTCTTCTTTCCTTATAGTGTGGGATTTACCAGTGGCATCACCTTCCCCGGGACGGTATCTGTCATCCTTCCAAAACTATTATCTCCCACACTATCTCGGGTAGAAGCATTTCTCACTCATTTTTCCGTGCACTTCCCATGAACCATTCAAAGCATCGGTGACCGACCGATAGCTGCCAAATGTCGGCTTTGCTCACTCAACGAGAAGTCGTTGAGCTCTCTATACTGAGCCTCTGTTACCCCTTGAACCATGCCCTCGCCCCCTGAAGCTGGCGCCATGGCCTCCATCAGCCGCATGAATCGCCATGTTGTCTTCGGGTTCTTCCAGTACGCTTTCTGCATGATGGATGAGAGAGAATCCCCTGCTAATGCCCGTGAGATCGCTCCCTCCGACCGAAACGAACGCAAAGAAAAATCTTGCCGCTCCCCTGCTCGTTGAGCATACCTCTTGAGCGCAGCTGACATGTACTGTGTCGCGACTGCCTTCGATTCTCTCACTGGCTGTCCTTGCTGGGCTTCCTTGTCGATAGAAGGAAACACATATCATTTCGTCATGTCCCAGCCTACGCACGTTGCTATCGCGACCAACTGTTCCACTGCTCGTACAGGGCAGATCGATACGGTCACCTCATCGTGAGGAATAGTCAAAATGTGGTCCGCTCCATCCCGCCGCGGCTTCCCCCATTGAAAGTTGAACGTATTGTTGGTAAATCAGTGGCTTCTGGAGAAGAATATTGTATTAGTGAGACCTAGGTATGGAGAGACAGGTCGGAAAGTGGAGTGAGGACAGGGGGCGAGCGTGATGCTCCCAGCTCCCAACGTCTCCTCCGGATAGATGCACACCCGGAACACAAAGCAATACACCGAACATGACAATGACCCGTAAGCCCGACGTCCAGCGACAATGCTAGAACGTTCCTACTGGACATGTGTCCAGCGTACCACATAGNACACTCGGAACACAAAGCAATGTACCGAACACGACAATGACCCGTAAGCCCGACCTCCAGCGACAATGCTAGAACGTTCCTACTGGACAAGTGTCCAACGTACCACATACCAACGTACCGACTTACACCTACGGTCCGTTGTACGATCCTTACGTGTGTACAATCTACCGAACTACCACAAAGAGTATTCGCAGAACACTCGGCATGACAACCTACGATCGACAGTTCTGCAATTAAAAATATCCAATCAGATGTTCTACCGCAGCTCAGGCGATACATAAGGCCGCTACCACGAACACCCTCCCTAGGGGGGTTTTGTATCTACCAGACCAACTACATTTACTTCGCATGTATGACAGCAAAAAAAAAAAAAAAGACTTCTACTTCNTGCGTGACCTCGATAACACCCTCCTCTGTCAAATTCCTAAGGAAGTGATGCCTCACATCAATGTGCTTACTCCTACTCGAGCTAAGCGGATTCTCTGCGAGCGCAATCGCTCCTTCGTTGTCCTCAAGGACGTCTATCTTCCGAGGCTTCGCACTAGGTCTCAGGAACTGAAGCATTCCATTCACAAACAGAGCCTCCTTTACACCGTCACCCATCGCAAGATACTCTGCCTCAGAAGTCGACTGTGAAACGCATTTCTGCGTTTCAGAAATCCAACCACAGGCATCGAAGCCACAAGCACTATTGCTCCCGAAACTGATCTACGGTCGTTGGCCTTGCTGGCAAAGTCAGCATCTACGTACACTAGTGTGCTTGCGTCTACTGAATTATCCGGTTTGAATTTTAGAGTTAGATGT